AAGTTCCATTCACATACATGCAATTACATTTTAGTAAAACTTCATAGAATAAGAAAATCTTGCTAGTAATACTGATAAACAGCTCATAATGTGGACCACTATCATTTTAATTTTAGTAAATTTCAGAACTTCGAAGCCTCCAAACAAGAATATAGACCACTTTACTTTTATGTTCAGCTCTCATTTTAGACTGGATTAAAGAACTCTTCCATAGAAAAATGAGAATAGCTTTTGGGTTCAGCTATAAGTGAATAAAATACATTCTCTGATCTCTGTAGACTGTTTCAAATGGAGCTGAAGTGGGGTGAAGATCATGGAATAATCTTATTTACACTGCCAGGTAATAGCTACTACTGTCCATTAACTATTCGTGTGATTCACTTAACCAAAAATGAGTCAGCTTTAGAGTGGTCTGTGGGCTTCTTAAGAACAGACCCCTAAGAAAAGAATATCCAGCAAATAATCTTCACTGGAACTAGAGCCATTTTATCGTGGATCCTATTCAATAAATTCATCAACTATTCAACTGTTTGGGAAAATGTTCCATACTACTTGCCTAGGAATTCAATGACAATGAGACAGTCTACAAAAAAATTTTAAAACTATCTGCAGTAAAGGTGAAAAACTCAAAAAGGAATAGGGTAGAAACTACAGGCAGCTGAGAAGTAATCAAACAGAACTGGACTTCAAATCAAAAGTCAAGGTAATTCCCTATGCCAGTTTTTCCTAAGGAAACTGCTTAGACATTCCCCAAAAAAGTGTTCTAGTACCGACAGGGCCTTCGTGAGAACTGAGGTAATGAATAAGAAAGAATCATCTAAATTATATCAATATAAATCTCTTCTGTGGAGTACTGTTTTCAGTTAAGTTTAGAATCCAAAACATAACAAGGAAATTTACAACGCAGCAATGAAAATGTGAACCTATTCTACACGTCTAGTTATCTTTACTACACGCAAAAACCACCATTACTTTCTCGTGTGCCATCATCCAACTTTAACCACTCACTTAAACTTTCGTGTGCACACTCACCTATATCTCGCCCTTTTCCCAGTCGTTACCGAGACAAAGGCAAGGAGCACTGGTCTGACTAAGATTTAAGCGTTTTTCAGGGTTATGAAAAACGGAGTGTCCAAGCAAACGCCCTGGCTTAAGGCAATGGGAGTTCTTGGAGGTGGACAACCGAGGGCGCAGCTGGGGCCAGAGGCGCAGCACCTTCGGTAGCTCTGGCCTGGGATCTACCCGGACCACAGGCCGCAGCCTCAACCCCTGCGGCCTTGGAGCGCCAGCTCTGAACCACCGCCCGCCCGCCCGCCTCCCTCTCCTCCGCTCCCTCACCATCTTCGCCGGCGGCTTCGCTAAGCTGTTGTATGTGGGCCTGAGCCAGGTCCCCGAGTTCCTCCACTCGCCTCGCCACACTGCAGCCTGCGGCCGCCATGGCCACAACGGGCGGGCGCACCCAGCCACGTGACTGCGCCAGCCCGCGGTCACCTGATACGCCAATGCGGGCAGGGGGGCGGAGCTCGTCTGGTTGGTGGGAGGGGCCCAGCTCCCGAAGAGGGTCGGCTTCGGCCCACAAAGGTTACTCCGAGTTATTTTCTTCCTCCCGGACTTCTCCCTTCACAATCCTGAGCAGCAGAGACTTTTAGGGAGGGTGTGATGTCAGGACACGCCTCTCTCCCACCCACTCCTCTAAGCCAATCAGAAGCCACCCATGTCCCCAAGCTAATCCAATGAGAAGCCAGCTCTCTCCGCCGCGCTGACTAGGGAGCGTAGAAGTGTCTGGTTGGTCTCTCCTGTCCATCCTGCTCTGCAGCTGTAGTCAGTAGAGCAGACAGGAAAGTTTGGAAAGTCTGGACTGTCTGGTTTTGGTTGCTTAAAGTATGAAAATCCTGACTGGCTCTCTTGGAGCACATCCATATCTCTCAGTGGTTATTGTTGTCTGGATGGGACGCTCCCAGTCTATGCGGTTGAGTGTCGCTTTTCTAAATCTTAATTTTATTAGCTAGGTTTTGTTTTGTTGCTGATCTGCTTTGGCCAGTTCACATTTAACATACTCCTTTCACGTCTAATAGCACCAAAACTTTTTTTTACAGAAATTTCTATTGCTATACATCTTGAGACCATCCCTTAAAGCGCTCATTGTGTGCAGAGTTCATCCTCTCCACTCTCCACTGTGAGTTTCAAAGCACTTAGTCAAGAGTTTCACTTCCACTTTGCTTTCACCCTTTTCTTGCCTGAAGTCAAACCTACCTTTAGCTTGTGTTGTTTTGTTTTGTTTTGTTTTGTTGCTTTGTTTTGTTGCTTTCCAGTTTGACACAGTACATTTTGGATACTCTCCACCCTATCATTTCTTATGAAAGGTAGTTTATATTTAAAAGGAAATAATAAAAATAATTGCCAACTAAAAATTATTGCTTGCCATCTGGTTCTACAAGAGGGAAGTCACTAGTCAGTGCAGTTGTTGACCTTCAACACACTTTGAAAGGAATTCAGGGCAGAGATCAGGAATGAGGTACTCGGAGCTTTGGGAAAAACTGGCAGAACAGGCCTTCGGATAGATATTTTCAGGAGAAGATTTTATGAGCCTAATTTCTTGCATCCTTTCATACCTAGAAAAACACTAAAATCATTAACGGAGACATGTTTCTCATAGCAGCAACCTTCTGCCAAAATGTGCTTGATTGCACGTATCCCAACTTCACTAAAATCACATATAAACTGACCTCCCTACCTACCTCTTAGGGGTAATACCTCAGAGTTTCTGAGAGGCTGTTTCCAGGGTTATAGTCCTCATCAGTCCCCAAATAAAACTTGATGCACAGCTCTCACATTGTACATTTTTATTTCAGTTGACATGGGGGCATAGTGTGTCATAATTTGTAAGTGATTGACCACAATGGCTTCCTAACTGAACTTTGTAACACCTTTCTTTCTCCTTTAATTCACCTTAAACAGAGGAGACAGAAATCATGTATCTATTTTGTATCCTCAGTGATTCCTACAGTGCCTGACACATAAATTCTCAGGAAATGTTTATTAATTAAACAAAAATGTCATGTTATCTTGTCAGTATATTACTCTCTAATCAGGAAGCTGAAGGCCTGGAAGTTTGCATTATGTGATCAATGTGGCTAAAGAATCGAAACTCTAGTAAGTATTTGACATCTCAAAATGCCAAGCTTCACTAAGTGTATTATTTAAAATAAAATTTACAGTTCTAATCATTCAATAAATAACCATGGACTTTCCTTTAGTGTTTTTAATGATATCCATATTACCTGAAAGATATATCTGCCAGATAAACTAACTCTAATAAGTGTCACTTTACTGCAATATCAAATAATTTCCAAGTTCTGTGCTTTATCAGGAACATGACATTTAAAGATAGGGTAGATTACTATAAGTCCACTGGAATCTTAACAATGTTAATATTTCTAAAACAAATTAGTAGAAACACATTGAAACATTGCAAATAATTGTTATTTACCTTGCCACGATTCTATTAAAAGCACTTTGATTTATATTACCAGTTTTTAAATTCCTATTAAGCAAATATTTTAAAACCATGTCCACATAGAACATGAATTTCAACAGACAGATCAGACACACTAGCTTCCTAAAATCCCAAAGAACTTATCTTAAGGAAAAGCATTGTATTATACAGGATAATTTGGGCTGCAGATCTCAGCAAACACAACTACAATGTAAACAGTGAGGAAATACATGGTTTGGAAAATGAATCCCAGAGGTAGGACAGGCTTCAGTGCTGACTTAAACCAGTAGCCCCAGCTCCATTTCTCTGCACACCTCTTGGTTCTGCAGATAAGTGTTGACTTCATCCTCAACCTGACAGTGAAAGGGCTACACCCATCCCAGGCCTCATATCTAAGAAAACTACTGTCAGAGGAAGAGAGAGGCAGGTACTACTGGAATTTCTCAGAATTATAAAGAAGAACTTCTCCAGAATTTCATATCAAGCTTTTCCTCACGTTTCATTGGTTCAATCTAGGTCACATGCTGGTCTCGAACCAGTTACTGATAGTATTTAAATTACCCTTATACAGATCAGGTCTGTATCAGTCAGGGCTCTCCAGAGAAACAGAATCACTAGAGGAGAGAGAGAGAGAGATCGAGAGATCACAAGGATGATCGTAAGAAGTGATTATACATAAAGAGATATACAAATATGGACATACACATGCACACCACAAGAGCAGTCTCCTTGAGGTCAAATGATACATGTTAATGACATGAGCTAAATACTTCACAGCAATACCTAGGTTAGTACTTGGTTAGGAAACTGAATACTGTCGCCTACTGAAGCTGACACATCAAACTATCACAAGTTCCATTTCCAAACCTGTACAGAGTGTGTTGAAGAAGGGTGAAAATGAGAATCTGTACAAAAACCAATCAAGAACTGGTCATTAACTTAGCACAAAGCCAAAGCCCAAGGACATGGCTTTGTGCCTGTTAATAAGAAAAATCCATCATTTAATTTCTAAATATTTAATCTATTGAAGTAAAAGTTCTCCGTACCTCATTGTATAATGTTGTTTATATCAAGTTTGGAGATTTTTTTAAAAACTGATTTTAATGTACTTAGGCCAGGCACAAGGTTTAGCAGCTTTAGTTTTTCTCAATTTATCAATAAAAATGAAGAGACAGTAAAATACAATACAAGAGAGAATTTAACACTTTTTCAATTTAAAAATTCAACACTGCCAGAATTTAATGGTTTCATTTCTTGCACATTATCCAGAAAGCTGACTTTTGACTTTATTGGCATAATAATTGGCCTCCGGCAAATGCAGTTTACTTTTCCTGACTCAAAACAACTTAGCCCAACTTAAGTCATTTGAGCTCAGCTACTTCCAACCATATTACTAAGCCCTACGTCCTCAGGGAAGGGGAGTCCTACAATCTCCAATCTGCTTTTATGTCCTCATCACCTTAGTATCTCGAGCAACCTTTCCCAAGATTCTTCCTAAGAATCATCTTCCTCCCACCTTTTTCACGGTACACCCCCAAACTCTTGCTCCAATGTTAATAAATGCCTCCATCTCCTCAAAATTTTCTTGTATTTACTTCAGTGGACACTTTATTAACAGTTCACCTGCCACCCCCAACCCCCGCGAGTCCCAGCAGCTCGGGCGGCGGGAGGAGAGGCAGCGGCCAGGCAGCCCGCTTCGCGAAGGCTCTGGGCTCGCAGCGAGCCGCTGGCGCCACGCAGGCGCCCAGGATGCCGGAGAGCAAGCTCAGCTCTGCCAAGGGTGGGGTGCGAAGGAGGAACCCAAGAGGAGACTGGCGAGATTGTCAGCTAAACTCGCTCCTGCAAAAGTGGAAACGAAAGCAAAAAACCAAAGCAGGAAAGGATATATCTTCAGACAAAAAAAAGTGCAAATAAAAGGGAAAAGGGGAGCAAAGAGTAAACAGGCTGACGTGGCTAACCAAGAGACTAAAGATTTGCCTGCAGAAAATGTTTTGAGAAACTAAAAACGAGGAAAGCCCAGCCTCTAATAGCTATGGCAGGAGAGAAAGCAGACAAGGCTGATTAACAACATACACCCGGTCTTAGCAGTGGTCCCTGTCTCCCTTCTTGTACAGTCCAGAGGAATATTTTTATCAACTATTTTGTAAATGCAAGTCTTTTTTTTGTAGCTCTAGAAACATTTTTAAGAAGGAAGGAATCCCACCTTATCCCATATTTAAAGTGTAAATGCTTTTTTTAAGAGGTGAAATCATTCACCGGTTGTTTATTTTTCAGTACAACCAGAAAATAGTGGGATATCGAATATATGGGAGGCGTTGATTGTCCTGGGTGTGAGCTTAACATTCCATAGCTGGGAGTAGTTTTTTATATCCTGTAATACAGAGCATACTTAAATCGCAATTTGGAGTCAGTTGTGCATTTATTATGTCCTGAACACTTTAAATTACTTCTCTTCCCATGCTGTTTTTGGTAGAATTGTTTCCTAAAGCAAACCATTCCTTGATCTTTGCTCTCCTTGTCAGAATTTTATGCACTCTGTAACGACTTTGGTCATAGCAGTCCAGTTTTGTAGTAACTTTGTTAATGTGCTGTGAATGATTGAAAATTTGAGTATGTAGTGTAATGATTTTAAATTGTGAATTAGTGGGGCTTAGAACAGCATTACCAACATTTGATGATATTGGTGTTTGATATCCTGTTAAGGATAACTTGCCTACAAATTTTAAGCTGGAAAGTCACTGGAATAACTGGAAAAGAATCACAACTACATGACTTTTTAGATTTTTGGTATGTAAGTAAAGAATTGTGTACAAATTGAAATGCTGGTGTACTGGTCATCAAAACAACCAATAAAATCTCAATTATGAAAAAAAAAAAACAATCTGCTTGAGGTCAAGCTCCCTGACCATTTCTCTCTTCCCCTCTACTGACCTATGGATCCCTCTCTTACATTTGGTAAAGACACTGAATCTTCATTTGCATGATTTATCTTCACCCTAAACACTGCCATAATCCTAAAATAGCCCAATATCCTGGTAGACCAATGAACCAGGCTATGGATCTCACAAGCCTTAAACTCCAAAACTCAATCTCTGACTACTTCTCATATATCCTTTACAATTCTCTTATGATCTCACACTATAGCAG